ATTATTTAAATCAAATAAACCAGTAGTGAAATGCACACATATATTTAAAAGAAAAAATATATACATTTTTTTCATTTATTAACCAAGTTTGATTTTGTTTTAAAAAAGTATATATATTTTACCAATTTCAGTATAAGAATTAAGTGCTCAAAAAGGGTTATTTGTTTTAATTAACCGAAGTTAATTTCAATCTATGATTTTTAGATAGTGTAGGGTCATTAATTGTCGGTAAATTTTAGATGTTAGTCCCATACTGTAGATTCCTAAATATACGCGAGGAATTAATTATTGCGTATTTTTGTGAGAAACGCCCCTCGCGAAATAAATTTTTTCGCTTTTATTTTCATGGTGCTAATTTCCATATAAATCTCTTGATCAATCGTCCATTCGCGAATTATTGATCTCGCGATTTGAAGCTAAACCGCCATATCGCAATAATAAGTACGCGCGAAAAATAAGGAATCTACAGTATTACAATAATTACGAGATTTTCTTAAACTTTTTTCCTACTTAAAATAGCAAACAAAATCATTATGTCTCAATATTAAAAGGGCTGGGTGGTTGTGGCCATTTTCAGACTATATTGATCTCCTTTAGAAGAAGAGCTCCATATGAAGACATACAAAAATGATCAAATTTTAAAACTAAAATGTATGAAAATTTTCTTTGCCAAATGATAGTTCACAGCTTAAGATATCATATCTAAAAAATTAAGTTATATCTGATGGTTAATTTGTTGACCCCCCAGCCTCCTTGAATACATTATCACAGCTGATTCCCATTGGGTCGTTCATACACTAAGTGATAAATTGGAATCAAGCTGCGCGAGTCTATCGGCGTGGATTGGTTATGCATATATTCACATTTCATTTTATTGGTTATATGTTAATTAAAATACGAATATCATTTATCATTGGTGTATTTCAATTGACGATAGCCGGACTTCAGTCAAATTATCGTCTCAAAATTAAAAGAAAGTCCTTTTAATGGCAAGTTTTTTTTCTTTTATTCTTATCTTTTGCTTACTTATCACGATGAGTGAAGCGCGTTTCTGTCGGTTTTTCGCTTCAATCGCGTCGTCGTTCAAATCCTTTTTTCTTAAGTAATAAACATTCTTAAATAATTTTTTTTTGTACTTGTAATATCATCGTCTGGAAATGGCAATCTGTTAAGCTGTTTGGGGTCATATTTGACAATTTTGGCTATATTTAAAATGTAATTCTGTGAAATATTTTTATTTTATTACTTTTCGAAAACTCAAACAGCTTTTGATTGCACAGGTATAGTATAACATGATTGTACGGATACCTAACGGTGACAAATAAGTACATTTATTTATTTAAGGAACAACTGTCTAATTTTTTGGATTCATGATGTGATCAATCGAGTGGCTTGCGTGATAATTTGCATAAACGCCGAAGGCGTTTATGCATAAAATTATCACGCAAGCCAATCGATTGATCATCGTCATGAATCCAAAAAAATTGACAGTTATTCCTTATATTTACATGCTCCTGATTCTGCAAATTCCCGTGCTAATAGCCCCGCTTCTGTCTCTATTTGTCCCGCCCCGCACGTGATTTTTTTTAACCCCGCCTATCGATGAACCAGTAGATTTATGTAGAAATAAAGTATTTTTACAATTTGTAATTTTATCTCAGACAAAGACATTGGAAATGTAAATATTTATTTTTACATGTAAATACACCTCCTTTCATATCTGTGCCTTGAGTTCCTTCGGGAGCTTCTGGGAGGAGATAATGCTGAACATCGGGGTTTACTGCAATATAGCTGTATATGCTATATGAAGTATTCACCCATTGCACGTCCTAACTCCCAGCCAGATATTACAACGGAAGGAGACTAACATTTTAGGCCCCCCGGGGAGCTAACTATTTTTATTACTTTTGTCATTACTGTACATGTTAAATCTGGTATTATGTTAATGTGGTTGTATAAATAAAGCGCGTTCATAGGCTGACATAAGTTCGGAGAAAAATATAAAAATATAAAATTCAGTTTATATGATAATAAATCTTGCCATTAATGGAGGGATTAGGACATTAAAAAAATGACCAAAAAACTTAAAATTATTGAAGTTTCATACGTAAATGTATATTTGGTGAATATAAAAATTATTAGGGTTAATCGGTAAATCTGTTTACATCCAAAAATGTTTCAAATGTAAATTAAAAATCTCACAATTCCCTGTGTGCAATACCGTTAACTGGTTGTGATTGAGGTGTCAGAGGAGGCATCGTGTTTGTGTAAACATTGCCGGGTAACTAACATTACCTACCTACGGGGTTGTGTATATTATACTTATGTAATAATAGGAGACAATAAACTAAAAAAGCATAGCGGAATTTGATTGATAGTAATTCAAAGTAAACAATTATGTAAAGTCAATTCTAATAATAATAGAGATTGAGTGTAGATATACATGATATATAATATATGTTATTTCGTTCAAAATAATATTTTCACTGTGTTTTTTTTTAAAACTTTATTAATCTTGCAAGTGTCTGTAATTAAATTGAATTAAACTTTGTTTATTTTTTTTTGCGGAGTGTAAATAAATCAGTTAGTGTTATCTTAAGTCCTATCTTTATATAAACTAATTAATCAATTAGAAAGATCTTTTTCCTTTTGGTTATCTGAACTTGTAAAAATATGCCATATATAGCATTAAAGTATACATTTGATTTAGACGGCACATACAAAATATTTTATACAAAAAATAAACTAAACATAAAGTGCTTAATCAATATGCATCAATATGCATTTATTTTATACAACCACATTAACATATACTTGTATAAATCTGTTCCGTGTGAAGAAAAAATGAATATGTAATCAGTCTTAATTAAATTTTTTCTTAAATTTGTATCGTAAGCTCAGAATAAAGAAAAGATGTAACAGATTATTGTTAGAGAGTGTACTACCCCGGAATGGCCCAACCTCTTAGGGTGTCTGTGTTACGACTTTGTCGTGTAACAGGCGGTAGATGACTCTGTTAGGAAATCGAGGAATGTGTACAACCTAAGACAGATCACACTTCGAAGATTACTTATTGTATAGTTCGTGTAGGAATTGTTTGTAGGAATGGGATAGATTTTTTCTCCGATCTATTTCCATTCAAACTGATTAAAGGAGAATCTTCACACGGTTTTATTTTTCAGAAATCATGTCTTATAATGATAAAAAAAAATTTTTTAATTTTTTTCCCTTCATTTCAGGATTTGGTACAACGCTGATTAATTTTTTCCCTTCATTTCAGGATTTGGTACAACGTTGATGTCTACCCAGATGTCCACCCAGATGCCCAGCCTGATGTCCACCCTGATGTCCATCCAGTTTCCAAAGGCAGCACATTGTTTGGCGGTGGCTGCATTCCATACACCACAGACAACCTCAATAAATCTGAAATGATTCAGATTTTACTGAATCCAGACCAGCATTTGGTGACACATGGGCCTCCTGTCAAGCCGTGGGCCGGAGAAACGTATGTGATTCAATGCAAAACATACGGAGACTGGTCATGCGATCAGTATCAATGGCAATTTATCGGCAAAAGGAACTGAAAGATGAATGCGGGATAGTTCTTTTAAAGAACTATTATCACATACGTTTACCTGGTTCTAAGCCTGGCAAAGGACGAGCAAGACCCAACACCTCAAACAAATTCACCAGGACTGCTTATTACATTGATGAGAGTCCTGGACGAATGCTTGTCATCTATGCTGGCGACGAAAAAATCTACGTTCCAAATCCTCATCGCAACGCAAAAGAAAATAACTCACCCGAATATAACCACATAATCAGTTATAAATGAACTGAAGAATATGCAAGGCAAGCCAATGACCATTTATCGGAAACTGTCGACTAAAGGAAATGTTGCTGGAGAGTATCAAAGTGTTCTAAATCCAAGAAACCTCAGGCAAGTTCAAAACCACCAGGCCATATCAAAATCAAATCAGAAATTGGGTAAAGATGATAAATACAACATGATACAGCTCGCGTACCATCTCGAAGGCTTTGTATCTGAGATTACAGTATTCCCTGATCTAATAACCGTTTTTGCTTTGCCGGACATCATCAACACATTTATAGAATTGCTACAAAGCAACGCTAGTACCCCAATAAGTCTAGTGTATGACACTACATTCAACTTGGGCGAATTTTACGTCTCACCGTTGCTTTTTGAAGGAACACCTTGGATACCATTAGCATTCTTAATACATGACATGAAACTACAAAAGTGCCACAACAGACTATTTGAATTCTTAGCAGAAAGGGTTCCTCTTTTAAAGTCCAAGAAAATTCCCTTCATCACAGAGAGAGAGCCAGCCTTAACAAAAGCAGTGCTGAGATAATATAAGTCAAAAATCTCTCGCAAAGTTCGTTTTGGACAACAACGGTGTTACACATGTGCCGAATTGTAAAGCCTACATTGTAAAAGGACACAATGAAAAACAATATTGTGTAACCCTTCACCCAGAGGCTTGCCAGTGTCCATCAATGTCTCGCTGCTACCAGTCAAGATGTTTGTAGGACTACCTGTTGACAATTATAACACCGAGGTCAGCTTGAGAAGTTTGTCCAAACGAAGTCTTAAGAGAAGTGACAAGAAATCAGGCAGGAAGCGTCCTAGAAAAATGATGTCGACGTTAACGTTACACCCGCACCAGATTCATTGATTCAACAACAAAAGACACCTAAATCAAAGAAGAAACTTCGCTTTCAGTCACCAGTTGCCGTGCCCAAACAGTCTCCGTCATCACCATGTGTCATATCACATCAGTCACCATCACCAGAAGTCCCATTCCACCAGTCTCCATCACCACCTCCATTTCCCATTACCTGTCAAAAAACGTAAAATCCAGTCAAAAGAACCAGTGGAAAATAAACTGCCAGCTAAAAAAAGAAAGCTCAACATTAACTTAATATATAACGAGCTTTCTAAAACGGAGACCAGAAAATGGTTTAGCAACTTAACAATGGACCATAAAGAGAAGATTGAAACAGGTCAGCCACTTTGCTCGGACATGATAAATGCTGTTCAACAAATTCTAAAGCAGCAATTTGCCAATATTAATGGCTTACAACAGACGGAGCGAACTCCAGTATGGGATGACCAACTAAACACATGGAAATACGGAATCAGTTTCCAAAGTGTTATTTCTCCCGCCGTCCAGATCCACCACAACGGGCCCGGGAAATTCCACTGGGTAGCCTCTATGAAATTGGAAGGGCAAATATATGTCCTGGACAGCTTGTCATTAAATTTTCATGAAAGATATGGATAAATAATTATTAATGCCGCAAAAATGTTACTGAAATCCTCTAAAACAAAGTATTTTACAATATAAACAAGAATATATCTCAATAGTTTTATATTTAAGCTATATGCTCATTTAACGAATTTTATGTTGGTCAGGTCAGTCAGGTCTTTAGTAGGTCAGGTCTTTAGTATGTCCCGCGTATTTCACGCAAAAAGTAAGGGTTTACAAAACGACGGTCTTTACTATCGATAATCATGCCCAGGAAATGTAACAAAAATACAGTTAAAAATAAAATTCAAGTGCAATTTATCGTATTTATTGTCTTTTATATCTTATAAGAATTTAATAAAATGTTTGGCAATTTAATTTGTTTTTTCAAATAACTACGATTGTTTGGGGGAAACACGATTATATATATATATTTGTTAAATCTAGATTCTAAATTCATATTTTTCTCATCCTTAGAATATTTTTCCTTGTGTTTTAAATTCCATAATTAAAAAAAAATCGTAACAAAATAATAAATTATTTCATGAAATGACGGAAAATTTTCGTTTTTTTCTACAGTATAAATTCCAAATATGGGAAACTTAACCTTTTGATTTTTTTTCTGTTGACATTTTACCAAGTTCATAGCAGAAATAACAATATTATCGATCTTTTTTCCTAAGAAAGAAGATTTAGGCAAATTTGTTTATATTTGATACGGCAAGAGTTACCGTTCTTGTGCCTTGCATGACGGGACGGAAAAACCCTCTTTTAGGGTATACCCCCGTTTGAGGGTTCGACTAGACTGTACTATTACAGTCGACTTTGAACATGTTGAAGTGCTTATATGTAGTTCATTTATGCGATTTCCACATGATCATGATAATAACAAATACACGGCCAGGAACACGTTAAGTTCCTTTACAATACCGTTGTCAGAGACCTTTAAAGTTAAGCACTAAAATTGGTTCGTTGTCATGACCTCACAGGTGAGGTTAAGATGATATCCGTCCGGTGTCAAAACTTCAGAGAACTAATAATTATTTTAATTTCATTTTCCAAGTGAGTTAATTGATTACAATTCCTCAAATTGCAATGGCACTGTAGGAAAGCCGTGACCTTAATATAGTTTACGGTCATCAAAACATGTCGGCCGAGCCGATCGGTTGAAAATTTTCGACGGGTATTATAAATATTATTCAATAAAATTGAGCAATTTAAGATAATGATTAAGCGAACATTGAAGTTATCTCCAAGTCGGTACTTGTTATTTACCCAAACAAAAGAAAATGAAATGATAAATCGCCCTCGAAATTTTGCAGTATGATGACTGTAACAAACACAATCCAGCTAGTAGATGATGACCGTAAAATAGTTATATAGATGACCGTAATCTTTGTACAAAATCATGTTAGATGTATTATATCTTATTTTACATCAATTCTATTGAGCGCTCGCATCTTGATGGAGGTCGTAAGTTCGAATCTCGGACGCGACTGACCTAAGTCGATAAAAAATGGATAGCAACTGTTCCTTCGCTATGCGCTCGGCACTTTGAAGTGAAAGTTGCGGGTCCTTCGGATAAGACCTTAAAAACTGAGGTCCCGTGTCACGGCAGACGTTGGCACGATAAAGATCCCTCACTGCTCAATGGCCCTGAGTGCCGAGTAAAGGTCAAAATTTGAAGCCCTTCATCGGTATATGGTGACGTCTCTATATGAGTGAAAAATTCTCGAAAGGGACGTAAAACAGCATACAATCAATCAATCATACATCAATTCTACATGTTCTATAACAGCCCAGTAAACGCGCGTTCGGCAACTCTGATAAAATCATTGAAGAAGGAGTAAGTCAAAGCAGTTTCATATGTGCTGGAGTATAACCAGCTGTAAGTAAAACTAGGAAAGATTTAATTAGGGTTAATACCTACAGTTAAGGATTCACCTAGATTAAATTTGTAAAATAGTTTCTGTGCATTTAGTGTTACATGTACCGATCAAATCGACAATGCTCAAAACATCGAATTACCAAGTTTTCAAATAGTTTAGAGTTGTTATTATCTACCAACATTGAAGTTTATTGCTATGTAACAATTCTTGGAGGTATGAACTAAACATTTTTAGAATTAAAACTGCATACATTAGCACATCCTCACAAAGTCAAGGTTTTGTGATTTCGGAACTCCACCCAAACCCTTGACTTAAGTCGCTATTTAAAGGTTGGGCTAGAAAGCTACTATTTCATTTGTTCCTGGTTTAGGACTGGAACCAATCAAAAAACAGCTTTTATTGTAAGTGAGTTTTGTAAACAAATATGACTCGTCTTTAAAATAGAAAGTGTCAATATTGTAGGATTTGCGACTAGTTACATTAAATGAAACATCGGGAATTATTTTTTTTAGAAGATCGTCCTTCTTACGATCACAAAAGATGTGCTCTGGAGTTGGGCCATTTGAAAACGAAGGATTTGAAAAATAAATTCTCATTGGTTTAGTTCATAATTACCCATTACGTCATGTGTAATCACAAGCCCAACTTTTGAATAGCGACTTATGTCAAGGGTTTGTGTGGAGTTCCGAAATCACAAAACCTTGACATTATGAGGATGACATTAGCATCAAATCAACTTTTAACTTGAAATTTTGACAACTGCGAGGCGATCGTCAACTACAAGTATCGTTTATAAAGCGATCGTATAACTGGAAAATAGCGATCGCAAAACACATGAAAAAAAAGCACAAATCAGAGTAAATTCTGTCTAGAAAGTGTTATTTCGATGTATAATATATTAATACATTCAAATAAGGCAGTCAGTCATTCGGATATATCGTTTTTAACTCTTAAAATTGACCTACATAAATATTAGAACATAGAAATTATACTTAACTATGTTAATCAAGGAGATACTATGGAAAACGAACTAGAGGGCTCGAAAAATGTAAAGTAGGAATTTACCTCAAAGTTATAACAGTTATGTCATATAGTTCATTTCAACAGTACAGAATTCATTTGCAGGAACGTACATGTAGTACCGCTTTTTGAAAGGGGGAGGGGGGTTAAAAAAAGTGACAAATTACCTAAAAAAGTTTAACAAGCAAATTGAAAGAAGGAAAATTGTCCAAACTCGAAAATCCTACACCGTGAATGTATGTGTGTGGGTGGGTGGGGGGGTTAGCTTTCAACTTCTTTCAAAATCAAATTTTATTCACAAAGTACCAGATTATCCCGATTTGGCTATACTGCAACAACAACAAAAAAATAATAAAATGTTTCCAGGTTCTGCACACAGTTCTAATTTTCGAATGCTGAATTTTTCTGTTGGCAAATTGTTAGAAATGTTATGTTTCAAAATTAATTTACATCTTCGTCTTTTTTGTTACAAAAATAACACGACATAGCTGCCTCTACAACAGAAAACACATTAAATTCGGTATATTACAGTCATCATAAAATTGTCATCCCATTTCATTGAGAAAACCCGAGATTACGGATATCTTAATGTTCTGTTACGGTCATCATTCTCAAAAACTTTGAGGTCGTACTACAGCTTTATTTTCTTAAGTTCAAGTAATCTATAATAACAAATAGCAAGTTTTCATTAGAGTACATTCAATTTTCAGCGGAATTTACACAGATATGCTAACAAATGTTTGAAATCTTGAATGAAAAATTCTTACCGATTAGCTCGGCCGACATGTTTTGATGACCGTAAACTATATTACGGTCATAGGCTTTCCTACAGTGATATGCCTCTGCGGCTCATTCATTCGATGCGTAATAAACTGATATATAGACATATCTTATATTAACTTTCCCTGTTTAAAAGAATCTGAGCACGAGATGAGGACTTCAAACATGCTATAAATATACAAGATACCTTCTTTTCCGGATATGGAGGAAGGAAATATTTCATTTCAGAAAGAAAAATAGCACCAATATATCACCAATAGATATTTTATTTCTGTAGGTAATGTAAAGTTTCTTCCTGTGAAATCAACTGGTTACGAGGCCAGCATAAATGTATACAATCATCCGCTTTTTTTGTTTGATCACAATGTTTCCCGTTAGAGGATATTCAATCATGCATGACATATTCATGTATATAATAATATCAAAACATAGAAATTAAACAAACGTAGAAGATCAGGAAATTAGTGTCAGATTTTTATGTACATAAGGTACTAATACAGAAGAGGACGAAATTTTAAAATTTCAATTTTGCCAGTATTTTAATGAATTCCTTAAGTAGATTCAAAATACGGTACCAAGCAACACAAGTGTGTATACTCTCCTTAAATTATCAATAAAGATAAGAGGATCAGGATGTATTTTTTCAAGGGGGGAGGGCTTGGTCTGCGTGCTGAAAGAAGACCATTTGCAGTTTTCCAGAAAATATTCGTTTAAAACGTAGTAAAATTATATAAAGAATTCTGAGGTCAAGAGCTGGTAAAAAAAAAAAATCTCCCGAGGGACACCAAATCAAAAGAAAAAAATAGAAAGTTGTGACTTTTTTTTTTAAATATATACATTTTATTTTTTTTAAGTTTTAAAGTTGGTTCAAAAAACTATGAAAATAGACAGAGAATGCATTTTTAATCAAAAAATGTAACCCTTTTTAATTACCTTAGACTGGATATATGAAGATAAGAAGAATCATCAAACTAAAAATCCAATTAAACGATAAAAAGGAAAATAATAAGCCGAGCAGAGCAACTCAACATGGGTCCCCGGAAACACCAGAGGTTCGAGGGGTACAAATGTAAGCATTTCACGTAGACCGTTCACACCCACCCTTTGTCTCGATGTGGGTATAATCCGTAGATAAATCTGTATGAAAATAACATTTTGTATGAAAAATGTTTATCAACATTCGACTAAGTGATAGATTGTTTTTGCAAACAAGGTCATTGGACTGACCAAAGAATTCGCAAAATGTTGAATTTAAACCAAATTGCTAAT